AAACGGAGCAGCTGCCAACTCAGGCAAAGACAACTTAGGAAACTATCTCATTCTTCCTTTCTCTGGGAGGCTATTTCGCCTGTTGTTTCCTTGCATACAAAATGCGGTCTGCAACAAATAAGGCAGGATAAGATACAGCGAGTTCTGTTTCTTGCTTCCAAAACCACAGGCCCTAGACACTACAAAGGAGGGGATAAATGGTGTATGTGCTCTAGGGATGATGTTCAAATGCGATCCATTCAAGATAGATTTCCGTGATTTTTTTACTGCAGCTCTGAATTCTTGAGCATGGTGGTTCTTCACTTCCGTTTCTGTGCAGAAATCTGCAGATCTTTATTAAAGGATGTCTCTGATCATGGGAATAAAAAAAAAAAAAAAATCCCGGCACTGACATGTGGCACGTGTAAGTGGAGGTATTTTAAATGCCATTTATTATGGATCCAGTCTTCAAAACAGCCCCATTCCACATTTTTAAGGGCTCACAGCCAGCTGTTTCGACAGGTCATTAAAAAATGCTTGGTTCCTTGATTTTTTTCTACTTCAGGCCCTTAAATATGCTTTAGATTTTCCAAACCACTCAATACACACCAGTTACCATCTGGGAACAGACTTTTAGAGATGACTTCTGCCCACATACAGGCATTGGCTCTGCTTGAAAACCTCTTCCTGGCTGCTGATGCTGGGAGACCAACTCCGTGTGTCATCCAGATGCAACCTGGATGGCTGCTCTTCCAGGAGGTGAGGGAAGAGATTTATCCAAGAAAGGTCTCAAGAAAAGCAGAATATTGATTGCAAGGTCTTAAAATGTGCCCTACCCATTCAGTTATCCTTCCTCACATCCCGTAATTGTGCACAGCAGGGATGCTCGTATCCTCCTCCAAAGCATCTGGCTCCACCAGGGACAGGATACTGCTTGCACTGGAGTGCTGGTCTGGGATGCTATGGGAATTCCTGACTTCCTGAGTTGTTTATTTTTCCTTTGCAATGACCCACCAAGAGATGCACAGGGAGCTCTGAGACTTCCTGCCAGTAGGTCTGTTAACTCTTCGCTCACTAGCCTCTCCTCTCCAAGTAACCACAAAGGAAATGTTCCCAGCCCCTGGCAGGAGAACAGACTGGAACATGCAATGCCCTTCCTTCAGAGCTGTGTGAAGTCAGAACCAGAGACACAGAATGGTTTGGGTTTAAATGGACCTTAAAGGTGATCTTGTCCCACTCCCCTGCCATCATGGGCAGGGACACTTTGCTCTAGACCAGGTTGCTCAGTCTCATCCAACCTGGCTTTGAACACTTTCAAGGATGCATAGGACACAGTTTCTCTGGGAAACCTGTGCCAGGGCCTCAACAACCTCTCTAATAATTCTAATTCTAATTCCTGATTTCTTCCTAATATCCTACCTAAACCTACTCCCTTTCCATTTAAAGCCATTCCCCCTTGTCCTGTTACTACAGTTCCTGATGAGAAGTCCCCCTCTAGCTCTCCTGTAGCCCATTCAGATGCTACAAGGTGCTCTGAGATCTCCACACAACTTTCTCTTTTCCAAGCTGAACAGCCCCAACTCTCCTGTCCTGTCTCCACAGGGGAGCTGCTCCAGTTCCCTTTATCAATTCTGCAGCCTGCTCTGAACTTGCTCCAACTGCTCCTTCTGTTGGGGGCACCGGGACTGCATGCAGTATTCCAGGTGGAGCCTCACAACAGACAATCTTCTCCCTCAGTCGTGTGGGATTAGCTCTTAGTGGCTCTTAGGGACAGTAGCAATCAGAGAAGGCAGCTCAGATGCACCACGCAGAGCTACTTTCACTACCCTGCTGAGCTTCTCCAAAAGCAGCTCCCTGCCATTTATTTCGGTCGGTGAAACCAGGGTTTGCTTGGCACTGTTGTCACACTTTTGCCTGTGATTCAACCCTCACCAAACAACCCAGGGCAGCTATTTAACACCAGTAACTGTTATCCCTAAAATAATAGTCCAGGATGCCTTCGACAGCCCCATCTCAAGTCTAGGGCACTGCTCTGGATTCATACAAGGATATCCAACACTAACGTGTTTTGGAAAGAAACACTCGTGCTGGTTGTCTGCCTACCCAACAGCTGGACTCTGAATTACATGCTGTTTATTAATAACGTATTTTTGATCTAATTCTTAATGAAACATCCATTAAAAACATTCATTTTAACTGTAAATGCCAAACTCCAGTCTCAGTTACACTAATATAAATCTAAAATAAAACCACTGATTTCAGCCTCCTGGTTAATGCTGCTATTTCCCAGCAAATAAACTGCACCCTTAAATTATCATTATAAAACAGTGAAAGTTCAGAAAAGCTCACTGCACTTAAGTTGCATCAGGGTTTCATTACCATTCTTCCTTTTCATCTGCTCGCAGCTTTGAAGCTGAGATTTTTCATGCTTCACCTCAGACAGTGACATTTTTTGAAAAGCCAGTGGCAAAGTCCTATCATCTGTTTCCATGCTAAGCAATCACACACTCCAAAACAAAAATGAAGCAGAAGCCCTAGCACTGTCTGGCTGGGAAGGACTCTTCCCCAGCTGCCTGATGGTTCCTGTGGGCTACCACGAGGCACAGGGGGCCAGAAGGTTTTCCTCTGCAGAACTGTTAATTTCTGTGACTTCCCCATTTTTCTCCCGCATCATGGTCCTAAGGACCAGGAACTCTCATTTCTCCCTCTCCCCTAAGCCCGCACTGGAAAACAAAATCATTCACACAGTGACAATGAATTAATTGTGCCACTGCAGGAACAGCTCTCAGGCATCAGAAATTCGGAAGTGAGACAACTGAAGCTCTTCATTCAACTTTAATTAGGTCCCAGTGTAAAATGTATTACAACAGTCTTTACTCTTTATTAACACAGCCTTGGGCCAACTCTTACACAATCCAGACAGTAGGTTTTTTTCAACAATACATTTTACACATGAGGCTGGTATTACTACCTATTGCTAAGCCTGCCCAATGCTTCTCTGAGACCCCATTTTCATTTGCTTCTCTCTCTCTCAAGCTTTATCATGTGGGATGTAAGTTTCCAGTCTTGGGCCCTTTTGTATTTTTCCAATGCAAAACTCACAGAGAAAATACCTAGCAAAATATTTCTTCCAAATTTAAACAGCAGGCTAATGAAAAATACAGTATTTTGCCCAAACTCAAAAATTTTGGTAACCTTTGGTTAGGCTGAGGCTTCAAAGTTTGCAAGGAGTTAAGGCTACCTCTGCCTCACAAAGGAAGACACCTTGAAAAAAATAACAGCACCTCTAATTTCTCCAAAGGCTTATATTTTTTAGCAATTAAATTACCCAGAAGCTCCTTTTGTGATGAGTTTGTTCTGATTTGGAGGATGAGTGAGACCCTCCTGTATAGTCTGTGCTGCTGTGGGCTGAGACCAGGAGCAAAGAGAAGGAAGCTGGTCTCTACAAAATGCTGACAGACTCTTGGAGAGGAGATGGGAACAATAGAATGTTAGGAGTTCTTTGTTATTTGGGAAGAGTATTAACTTTTCCTTCTGAAGGAATATAGGCTTAGTTAGATCTGGGAAGATTTTCAGCAGGATGGTAAAAAGCACACTTTTGACCAAAAAAAATCCTCCTAAATTTAAAAGAAAAGGTCTGAAGGCATTTTCATTGCAAAATTAAAACCCCATCTTCTAACCACTTAAGAACTACCAAAATGTTTTTTAGGTACTGTCTTTCAGACTTAAACAATCTAATTAGAAAAGCACAGTAGATAAAATCTTTCCATACTGCAAGATGCAGCAAAAGGCCTTTATAGGGCTTACACACAATTCCCTCAGGACAGAAGGTGTCCCTGCTCCCAGAGGGACAAAGAGGATCAGAGGGATGGAGCAGCTCTGCTGGGAGGAAAGGCTGAGGGAATTGGGATTGTTCAGCCTGGAGAGGAGAAGGCTTTGGGGTGACCTCATTGTGGCCTTGCAGTGCCTGAAGGGAGCCCAGAGGGAAGACGGAGAGAGACTCTGGACAAGGGCCTGGAGTGACAGGACAAGGAATGGCTTCACACTGACAGACAGCAGGTTTAGATTGGGTATTAGGAAGAAATTCTCCCCTGTGACGGTGCTGAGGCCCTGGCACAGGCTGCCCAAAGAAGCTGTGGCTGCCCCATCCCTGGAAGTGTCCAAGGCCAGGCTGGATGGGGCTCTGAGCAAGCTAGGATAGTGGGAGGTGTCCCTGCCTGTGGCAGGAGGGTTGGAATGAGATGATCTTTTAAGGTTCCTTCCAACCCAGGCCATTCTGTGATTCCATGGTTTAGACTTCAAGCACTCTGAATTGGAAATATTCCTTTTTCTGTGCAAATCCAATTCAATTTAAAATAAATGGGAAACCTCAGAATTACATTTGAAAATTAGGATCAATTTGATCGTAAGGAAAAAAAAAAAAGAAATATCAAAATTCTCCCCTTTTAAGTAACCTGGACTAATTACTCCTTTTTAATCAAATCACAAACCCAAATATTCATTTAGCAGTACTATCATACATGTAATAAAGCCCCATATTTACTTCGTGAATCAAAACCAATAAATTAGCACATGTTAAGGACAGCTTGAGTTGTGCCTGTCTCACATCCTGCCTCAAAGTTAGCTCATTATTCACTTCCTCCAAGCTAAGGTTTTTAGGTGATACCTGAAGGAGGGCCAGAAGAGCAGTTTCATGATTGCAAGCACAGGACCAACAGCAGCACAACTCCTGGTTTGCCTTATGCCCCAGGGAATGCTGCCAGGGCTCCTGAGGAGGCTCAGCCTGCTGGACCACCAGCCTGGACAGGCAAAGCAGGCTCTCCCCACCAAGCCTGAATAAAATCTGAATTCCAGGAAATCAAGGAGCTTTGGAGACTCAAACCAAAGTGCTAAGTCCATACCTAAAACTCACTCCCTACAGAAGCACCCCCCACCTTTGCCCCACTCAGCCTTCAGGATTGGGCTCAGTTCTCCAGTACGCCCTGGGAAATGAAAGGAGAAGAGGAATGTGGGACACTCACCACATCTGTGTTTGTGATCTTGGCCAGGAGGTCCGTGAGGCTGTCCCCATCATCGAGCTGAAGGCCACAGATGGCTGCTCCCACACTTCCAGTTGCTATCATTGATGGTGGGTACATGGCAAAGTTAAAATCTGCAAGAACAGATCTGGGAATTAGTCCAAGCCCAGACCAGAAAAGCTGCAAAACATCAGAGGCAAGCAACATAAAAAAAACCACACCCAAGAATAAAACCCGGGGAAGTAGAAGAAAGGGAAAAGTGCCACTCTTTTTGGTCCCATGGAGCTCATTAGTCACACTGCTCATCACAAGCAGTCAAAGGAGGGGGAACAGACCTGCAAATTAAAATGGAAATGCGGTTCAGTCTTTTATTCTCACTGATGCATAAAGTAAACCTGGACAATTTTTAATAGTCTTTCCTTAGTTTTAAAGAAAAGGAAAGAGAAGAAGGAGCCTTTCTGTAATTTATGTCAGAAATTTGGGTCTTGGTCACATTAGACCTCTCTGTATAACCAGAAAATTAACTGGAATAAGGTATCACAAAGAACCAAAATGAGATTTTTAGTCACGTCAATTTTTAAAGAGTTAATTAATTCGAGCATCTAAAGACCTGTCCAGGAAAGAGATTTTAATTAACGGTTCATCTCTACTACCTTAGCAATTAGGAAGTGAGAACACTTACAGCCCATAGCTATGAAATCAAAGAACAAAGATCGCATTTGTCATTACTACTAATAAACTTCTTAATAAACAAGCTGAAAATACACTTCCTCTCACACATCTGTCAAATCAGAAGAGAAATTAAAATAAAATCCTGTGATTTTTATAAAGGAATTTTATGGTTTATGATACTGCCACAGACACTGGTTTATCAGCACTAGTTTATCTTGCTAAATACCAGATCTTCCACATCTTGATATATTCCTAAAATATAACTTAATTTGCAAGTTCTTTGTTTCAACAATAACTCATTAACAAACCTTTCTCTACCAATTTTCAGTATCAGCAAACCTTTCTCTACCAGTTTTCAGCTGAGGGAATAGAAGGAAGAGTAAACCAAAGTAATATATAATAAGAAATAAATTACAAGCAATACATTCCATCAAGTGAAGCAGATTACAGAAAACTGCCCTGCTGCAGATCCCAAATCCACTCTGTTCACAAATTCTGTAACCCTGCTGATGTCTGTGTAACCACTGAGGTTTTAGACACATGAAGAGCTGTTCTCAGCCTCCCAAACTCTGAGCTGGCACATACTTCAATAGCTGTGGAGACAGCATGTTCTTCTCCAGGCTGGAATACACCCCTGGGATTGAAACAGTCCAGTAAGAATGGCACTTGGGACATAACACTCACCCAGATGGACCAGAACGGGGGGTGTCACAGGTGGGGAGACAAAAGGAGGAGTTGAAACCCTGACATGGATTTCTCTGTCTCACAAAGCCACCAGGAGGTTCCCACCTGCAAGCCCAGCACTCCACGCTGCTTCCTACCAGACATCACACTGACAGACATTTCTGAAGGACAAATTCCCACTGGCTGAAGTAAGGAATATGGACTGCCATTATTATGAAAATAGTAATTTATGCACTATGGTAATAGTAAGAACCCACTGTACATAGGATTCTTGGAAATTAAATTATATTGCCCCCCACTAACGAGTGAGACAACAGGAGAACCTTGACTCCCAAATTCTCAGTGCAGGGCACAGCCCTGAGTATGCTGATCTCAGCACGTGGTGAGGGAATTGGAATTACACTTCCAGGATTGCACTTTCTGCCACTCACCAGTGGCATCCCCCAGGGCTCAGGGTTGGGGCCAGTCCTCTTTGATAAATGACCTGGATGAGGGGATCGAGTGCACCCTCAGTCAGTTCTCAGGTGACACCAAGTTGTGCAGGAGTGTTGATTTGCTTGAGCACAGGAAGGCTCTGCAGAGGGATCTGGGCAGGCTGGATAAATGGGCCCAGGCCAGAGAGTGGACGTTCAACAAGACCTGAAGTGCCAGCTCCTGCCCCTGGGTCACAACCCCCAGCAGCTCCAGGCTGGGAAAGAGTGGCTGGGAAGAGCCCAGCAGGAAAGGGCCCAGCCCTGCTGCCCCACAGTGCATGGCCAGGTGGGTGAGAAGGCCAAAGGCTGCTGGCCAGGGCAGCAATGGTGCGGCCAGCAGGAGCAGGGCAGTGACTGTCCCCCTGTCGTGGGCACTGGGGAGGCCTCAGCCCAAGTGCTGTGTCCAGTTCTGGCCCTGGCACTGCAAGATGGACATGGAGGGGCTGGAGCGTGTCCAGAGGAGGGAACGGAGCTGGGCAAGGGGCTGGAGCACAAGGCTGATGAGGAGCGGCTGAGGGAGCTGGGGCTGTTGAACCTGGAGGAAAAGGAGGCTCAGGGGGGACCTTATTGCTCTCCACACCTCCCTGACAGGAGGGTGCAGCTGGGTGGGGGTCAGGCTCTGCTCCCAGGGAACAAAGGATAGGACAAGATGAAGCAGCTTCAAGTTGTGCCAGAAGAGGTTTAGATTGGATATTAGGAAAAATTTCTTCAGGGTGATCAGGCATTGGACCAGCTGCCCAAGGAAGTGGTGGAGTCACCATCACTGGAAATGTTCAAAAAACATGCAGATGTGGCACTTGGAGCCATGGTTGAGTCGTGAACATGGCAGTGCTGGGTTTGGGTTGGAGCCCATGATCTTAAAGGTCTTTTCCAAGCTTAATGATTCTATGATCAAAACCATTTTCATGTTTAGCTCACACAGATTTATACAAACACAAGTAAGGTATAACCACACCCCTGAGCTGGGAAGCAACTTCCATGTTTGATCTTGGACATACCAAACCGTCTCTTACTTATGCACGAGAACTATGAGCAGCAATTGATTTTCCATCATTTTCCCCTCCTTGTCCTGAGTTTCAGGCAGGATGTAGTAAAAAGATGTTGCAGGGAGGTGCCATGTCCAGGCAGAATGGGCTGAGCAAAGGACACAGCTCCACCTGCCCTCTGAAATTCCTGGCCTTGCATCACGACCTCCACGTTATCCGAGCGCCGGTGTTCTCGTGGCTGATTTTAGATCCACTCCCAGAAACTGTCTTCCTAGGAAGCTGAATAAAGAGGCACAGTGTCCCTGCCAACTAGCACTGCTGTAGGTCTGCTTCCACGTGGGGTCACATGCGAACATTTCTATGCCCAATAACCTTGTTAGCTCCCTTAATGTCATTCATAATGCAAATGAGACAGCGAGCGAATGGCCAGAGGCCCAGAGTGACTAAAGCTCAGCATCCAGAAAGTCTTACATTGCCTCTAGCTCTAAACTAACTTCCCTCCATAACAAGCACCATAAACTTGGCTATCAAAGCTACACATGCCCAGTCTTTGTTGTACAACAGGCAGCGATTTGTATCACTGGCTTCTATTTTTAGCATATTAATTAACTACTGCAACTGGTGAGGCAAGTGTCTCCAACTGGAGAGTGTGGCACCATTGTCTGAAGTCATCACCTCATCTCGAGCTATTGAAAATCATGGCAGTGACCCTCCTGCTGATATGAATTTAACCTGACATGCCCACAAAGGAATGGGGGGTGGTGCACCAATTTTGTGCACATGGTTCTCCACATCACCCTGGACCCTATTAGTGTGGAAAGAGCTCATTGAAAGAAAAGAAGCCACATTGTGCTGGGCCACCTAGAGGGTTGAATAGAAAAGGCTGAGGAAAAGAGCAGGCAGCGCAATAAAGGCCATAATTAACATATTTCCATATTCAAGCAAAGCAATAACTACGTGAAATGTTTGTCAAGGTGCAATGAAAGCATAAATATTAAGTACCGTATCTGAGGGGATGCAGAACTGCCCCCCCAGACTCTTAGATTCCATTGAGAAATTCAAAACAAGCTTTTTACATGTTATTTTCAATTATAAACCTCTATCTCTGCTTCTACCATGACAACGAAACAAGCCTCGCCATCCTCACTCAGTTTTCACTCAGGTAAAACTGTCCCCCCTCCAAATTAGGTCAAAAATTTGCCCTGAGATTGAAGAAAAAAAAAAATTCTAAACAAATAAAGGTAGGGGGCACAGAGCGAGAACCTCAAAATGTGAGCTGAAACATATGCATTTACTGCAAATTCTTGTAGGAGATGATGAAACCCAAACTACAGGGGAAATTTTATAGAAAGCACTTCTTACTGGACACTTGGAATTTTATAAATACCACTTCTCCCTGGACATCTGAAGCAAGGCTATGGGCTAAATCCTTCTGTGTGCAAACTTGGTTAACACACTCCCAGAGCCTGCATCTAAAGCATGACTCTGACTCTAACCTTGTTGTGATTTATAGGTTTATAGTTGGGCTCGATGATCTCAGAGGTCTTTTCCAACTTAATTGATGCTGTGATTATGCCATTCCATGGGAAAAGTACAAAAGAGTCTCATTATAACTTAGAGAAGCAGTGGCCACAGCACGTGTCTATGAGAATCTGAGCACATGAACACCTCAAGGGAAGACACTGGTTTGTTAGAAAGCAAAACTTGTTTTACCTTCTATTCCCAGGCAACATACACAAGAAACCATCCCATCCCCATTTTAATATCACCTATTTCCCAAACGACCTCAAAAACAAGAGACCAGTCCTACACAACCCCATTGACTTCAGCACTGGAAATAAAAAAAAAGGCAGTGCAAGAAACAGCACCCTTTGAAACACAGCCAGAGTACGTGGACCAGCCAGCCAGAGTCACCAAGCAAATTCAGGGTACCCTGAACCTGTCCCCCACTTTCAGCCTGGAGCTGACACAGCCAGGGCACAAGGAGGTTTTTCTGCCAGTGGAGCACACGTAATCCACGCCGAGGTTCCAGGGCTGCGAGCACCGTGGCTGAGCTGTTTTGCTGGCTCTCTCCCAATCCAGTGGTCTTCACTGCCTTCAAGCCAGGAAAAATGCAAGGCTGACAGTCCAAAGCAGAAGGGAACTGGAGGAAGGAACCCAGAGAGGTCCTGCAAGGGGAAGCCTTAACTTGCAGCCAACAAATAAAACCGTCGGAAGAAGAAGAGCACTGACAAATACCCAGGCTGAACATGCTCAGTGTGTCAAAGTCAGGTGGGGGAACTCTACCTACGTAAAATGACCCGTTTTACTGACCTGGCT